ATTTTTAATTATATTAACTATTCTATCTTTAATATTTGTTAATACGGTCACACTAATAAAAGGATAATTTCAATAGGTTTGTGTAATAGGGTTTATTTATAATTACTTTTTTATCCCTCTCTTTGTGAGTAGTTCTTTATTTAATAAAGGTGATATAATTATTAGCTTTAGAGAGGCTTAATTTATTTTTAGATACAAAGATAATAGGATAAGGATAAGGTACTTTATGTTCATATTCTAACCCCCTTAGATCACATGAGAATAGGTCCCCGTGGTGTAAGTGGAAATAGTTATAGATATGTAAGTAAAGTATCACATTTCTGTTGTTGTTTCACAGCGGTTAATAAAATATTTCTTAATTAATTATGGATTTCGAATATTAAAATTATTATTTAATGAATTGGAGTCTAATTTAGTTGAGATTAATAAGTTAAATCAAAAATTTGATTTTATATAAAAAGATAAAAAGATTCAGCTTTAGCAAGAACAGATGAGTAATAAAAAAAAAACAAATAAGGTTTTAAGAGATATCCTTTAAAAAAATCTCTTCTTAATTTAATAAAATAAGATATAATTGAAAATGAAAACAATATTAAAAAAAACATTAAAAGATCAGGTTAATTTTGAAAATTTTAGTAAATTTTCATTAAGGTATAATCACAGTGATTCTGTGAAAAATAAAGTAGCAGTAGCTGTAGCTGAAGAACAAAATATTAAGGGTATTAATGAAATAACAAATAATTATGATATTCGATGAACTCAACAATATAAAAATTTAAATGATATGTTAGGGATTAAAGGTTTAAATTCTAATAAGCTAATAGATATAAATAAGATTAAATATTTAGTATTTTCTTTAACTAATAATAAGTATAGTTTAAATAAACAAAAAGTTGGAGATAAATACGAGAGAGATATATTTTATTCTTTAAGTTTAATAGTATCAGATTTTTATGCTAAAAACCTTGAAGAAAATAATTGATTATATGAAAAAATTTTATATAATTTAAAAAATAATTCTTCTTTAATTAGAGAAGGAGGGGTTATGGATATTTATTATGTATCCTCTTCTAAATTAGATAATAATATTAAAGAAGGTTTTAGATTTAAAGAAGGTTTAAATAAAAAATGTTTAATACCTTCTATTACGGAAGTTATAAGTTTAAATAAAGCTATTAATAACAACCAGTTAATAGTAAATATTTATATATTTTCTTGTGATACCTTTTTCAGAGAATATTTAACTTCTGATTATTTACTATTTAATAATTTAGAAAGAAGTAAGAATATAAAGTTATGAGGTTTTCCAATATTAATTATTGAAGATATGAACTTACCTACTGTAACCTATTTATTTAAAGAAAGAGGTATAAATGCTCACGGTATGTCTATTACTAGAAGACATATGTTATCACCTCTACAAAAGAATTTAAGTAATTTTCTTTATGTTACAGATCTAGATGATACAATTAAAAACTCTCATTTATATTATATTGATGAAATATTTACTAGCAAACATATAGATTTTCAAATATATAAAGATATTTCTAAAATACAAGAATATAACTTTAAGAAAAGATCAGATATTGTTAAAGATATAGATTCTATATTAAAAGAGATATCTCAAAATTCTGAATATAAAGATAAATTCTATAAGAATAAGGATAAGAAGTATTTATTATACTTAAAAAATAAATTACATAATCTTGATAATAACTCTATGAATCCTTTAGTTTTTATTTTAATATTAAGAAATCAAATTTTTGAATTAGAAAAATTAATAAATGAAAAAAAAGGTAGCCATAAAGATTTATTATTCTTACATAATAAAATTAAAGTTGAAGTAGATAATTTAATAAATGAGCATGAACAGGTTCATATTATTATTGAAAAACTTAACAGTAGAATTGAAAATTTAGATTTAGATATCTTAAGATTAGAGGATATAGTTAAGAGTAAACAAATAGATGTAAGTAAAAATAAATTAATAAATCAAGAAAATAAACAAAAAAGAAAAATAGCAGCTAAAAATAATAAGCTAAGTAAAAATTTAAAGAAAATGTTAAAGTTAAATTTAGTAGAATCTGGTAAAAAGAATGAAGAACTTATTTTTAACCAAAACTTATTAAAGAGTAAAGTTGAGCTAAAAAAAGAAAGTCTAGAAAGATTGGATAATACTCAAAAAAAAGATTTAAATTTAAATTTGGGAATTGAGAATAAAAAAAGGGATCAAATTAATTCATATTTAGAATTAAGAAATAATAATAAAGAGTTAGATAATATGAGTAATAATTTAGATTTAATAAGTAATTTATCTTTTCCTGACGATTATGTAAATAAGATTAATAACAGAAGTAGAAAAAGTAGTTTAAATAAATCAGATCTTGTTCCTAATAATAATAATTCAGATAAGTTAGATAAGAGAAAATTTTCTACTCTAAGTAATAATAATAATTCCTTCCAAGGGAGTAATTATTTTGAAGGGTAGACAGTGGCGGGACTTCCTGCTCCTTGCTCCTGCTTCACAGGAAAGGAGCATCCTGCTCCGCAGGATTCGGAAGCAGGAGGGAATAACTTAAAAGAGGATTATAAAGATAGACAATAATTTTATTTTATTTAAGACATGCCCTTTTTTTTTATTATCACCTGAGCCTGGCTTCTTTCCTGCTTCTTTCCTGCTACGCAGGATCAGGTTCAGGGTAGGAGGAGCTTCTTTCCTGCGGTTCAGAGGGAAGACAAGGATAAGAAGCAACCCTAATTTGAATAAGATAAAAGAAGGAAGGCTCCAACCTTCGGTATAAAAAAGGAGGACTCATTTTTAAATAATTTACATATTTAACTGACCTTTCAGCCCGGTGGTGTTAAAAACCAGCTAACTAGTAATTATCTAGCATAATTTGACTGGAATCAGGCTATCATCCATAGGCGTCTACGTCTACGCCGACTTTATTTCGGATTATTTTCTACACTAAACTCATTTTTTTTGAAAAACACCTTGAGTCACTAAACTCAATTTTTTTTGAAAAACTCCTTGAGTAAAGTAAGAGTCCGAAGAAAAGTTTATCTAGCCACCTACTCCTACCCTCCTTTTTATTTTTTCTATCACTTTTATGTGGAACCCCTTGGTAACTATCATAACTGAGAAGAGAAGGATGCTTCGCTGCTACACCCACTGGTAGTAGAAAAAGAATAAAAAATTAAGGGCTGCTTATTACCATCCTTCGAAAGGTTACCGCAGTTTAAAAACAGGAGAGTGACTACTTTAAAAAAATAAAGACGAAAAATGGGTATACCCATCGGCCTCCTCAAACCTGCTCGCAGGTTTGCAAAGCTACACACCCTTCCCTAACTTTAACTTATTTAACTTTAACTTTATATTTTTCCCCTGCTTCTTTCCTGCTTCTTTCCTGCTACGCAGGATCAGGTTCAGGGAGCCGCCCCTCATAAGGTAGCGTAAATGCCTGGGGGCTAGGGTTAAATTTAACTTTAATTTAAAATAAAATTAACTTAACTTAAATTACTTTTTATTTGAATTTATCCTAAGAAAAAGAAAATAGCAGGAGCCCGCTAATCATTCTAAGTAAAATTTGCACAATTTATATTTCTATTGTCATGAGTAAATTATTCGTACTATCTCCCTTAAGCCAATTTGAAGTAACCAGCCTTATAGGATTAAACGCTCCTGTTTTAGGATATTTAAATATTACAATAACTAATTTAGCCCTTTATGCTATCTTTATTTTAGCTGTAGTATTAGGGTTCCATGTATACGGAAATAATGATTCAAAATTAATACCTAATAAATGGTCTATTTCATTAGAGTCTTCTTTTGCTAGTTTAAGCTCAATGGTAAGAGAACAAATAGGAGCTCGAAGTGAAATCTACTTACCCTTTATCTACTCTTTATTCTTCTTTATAGTAGTAGGTAATTTAATTTCTAATGTTCCTTACTCATTTGCTGTTACAGCTAGTGGTGTAGTATCCTTAGGACTAAGTGTAACTATTTTTATAGGGGTTACAATTTTAGCATTATATTTACATGGATTAAGTTTTTTTGCTTTTTTCATTCCGTCTGGGACTCCTTTAATCTTAGTACCTTTATTAGTGTTAATTGAGCTAGTATCCTACTTAGCCCGAGCTGTATCATTAGGTGTTCGATTATTCGCTAATATTGTAGCAGGTCACACACTATTGAAAATCTTATCTACATATTTATACAAATTATTTTCAGCTAGCCTATTAATAGCTGTGCTTACTTTAATTCCCTTTGCAATATTCCTTGCCTTAGTAGGATTAGAAATAGCAGTATCTTTAATACAAGCATTCGTATTTACATTATTAGTTTGTTCATATTTAAGAGACGCAGTAAATCTACATTAAATTTTGAAAATTAATAATATCATTAAAAAAATATGTTAAATCTATTTATAATTAAAATCAACAAGATTAATTAATGATAATGTGAATAATTTTAAGGATTAAAAAAATTGATAAAAAAAAAGGCTTCAATTGCCTTTTTAAAGTTAAAGTTTTCAGAGACAAGCATTTTATTCTGAAAAGTATTAGACAGAAGGAGAAAGAGAAAGTGTCAGAACAAGAGATCAAATTCAAGCTAATTCTTACTAAAAACCTCTATTTAAATTTTGTTAAAAAACTATAAGTTTACGAAATTTTTTTTTTAAGAAGGGAAATAAATTTTAGGTGGTTTTAACACGAAGGTATCAAGTTAAAATTTGATAATAAACCATTTTTGTTGTTTAATTTTAGCCTTACAATTAGCAAACACCTTCAAAGAAAAGAACTAGGTTTAATCCTACCATAGTAACCTATGGACGAAAAACTTCTATAGTAGTAAAAGTAAAATACCCATACCCAAACCCATACCCAAACCCATACCTAAACCCAAAGAAAGAGACTTATTATAAAATATAAAATATCCTTAAAAGAAGAATAAAAAAAAAAAGATATTAAAATATTTAATAAAATTAAATAGAAAAAAAGTCGAAATAGTTTAATTGGTAAAACGAATTCCTTGTAAGATTTAAACATTGGTTCAATTCCAGTTTTCGGCAATAATTTTATATCTCTCCATTTAATTCTAACACCCTGTGCTTCTCGTCTTCGAAGCACTCGAGGCACTCCTCTACACTACACAAATATTTTGGTGCTATATCTCCAGATTTAAAAGAAAAAATAAAGTAACTTTAAGGGACTAGGGTAAACAGGAGCTAGGTTTAAGGGTAAAAGAGATATTACTTTACTTTAGACTTTAATAAACCTAACCTTATTTAATTAACCTTTCTCTAATTTAATAAGGTTAGTTAAAGTGGTAATATCTTTCTGATAACTTTAAATAACAGAAGTAGATACTTATAAACACTAAACACTAAATTATTTAGGCAAATAATTAAAAAAAAAAGAGAGAAAAGGATGAAAAAAGGGGTATCCCCTTAGAACACCTTTGGCCTGCTTTGCTTTTTCACTGCTTGTGGTGTTACAACCCCTTAACTTATAATTAAAAAAGAGAGAAAATTACAATAAAGCCATATAACTATAGAATACGTATTTCATTTATAATATTAGTAGCTACACCTACACTAAAAAAGAAGAGTCTCAAAAGAATGAAAATCAATCTGACGTATTAAGACTTAACTTTTCTGTAGAGAAAAGAGACAAGAGACAAATTAAAAAAACACCTAAAAGGTAAAATGTGTTCTTAAAAAAAAATCACGATATTTCTACTAATTAGAGCTTTCGAAAGAAAGGGACGTAAACTTTTTTTTTTATTATTCTCTTTTGGACTCGAACCAAAATTAACACTTTAGAAGAATGCAGTTCTAACCATTGAACTAAGAGAATTAAATTAAAAATACCCTTTGGCTCAAACGAGACTCGGAGTTGAGGGTGAGGAGAGGAAGGCTGGAAGGACTACTACTCCTACTAAAAAAAAAAGGACAGGACAAGGGTGATAGAAGGAAAGCTGTATTTAGGTATTTATACTTAAAATTTAGAAAAGAATAGAGTTAAGAAGGAATCGAACCCTTACTTTATAGACTTTGCAGGTCCACTACAGAACCATCTGTAAACTTAACCCTTATATCGTTGTTTATATTTGTTAATGGTAAGCCTTCGGCTTCCTACTGCTAACCACCACCTCCCCCTCCTGCGTAGAATCCCCTAGCTACGCTACCCTTGATTAAGGGAGAGTCCTTCTCTTATCCTGAGCCTACTGCTGAAGGTTGGGGTACCGTTTACCTTTTCTGTCCTTTTTACTTTTTTTACAAAAACACAAGACACAAAAAAAAAAAGGTAATAATGTCCTAGTCCTTTCGCACCTTTATATAAATTTAGGGGCTCCGTCTTTCTGCTGGAGAGGGAGAAACGGAAAAAAAGTAATATAGTTAGCTTATAAATTGAAAACACATGGAGTTGAACCAGGACTTTCCCATTAAAAGTGGGACACTCAACCACTCGAGTTCTGCTTTCTTAATATTAATAGTTATTTCTCCTTTTAAGAGAAGAGGACAAGAGTCCTCTTTGTAAGGTAGGAGGGGAGAGGGGTAGGCCCTGGGTAAATAGCTATAATTTAGTTTTTATTTTAATATTTTAAGAGTCGGAGTCTTAAACATAGATGAGTACTAGTCCTTAATCTTTAACTTAATTAACTTAAATTTATATCTGTTTTATATTTTTTCTCTATTACTAACTCTCTTCTTCTTCTTCTCCCCAAAAGGGTAAGGAGCTTGCAGCACAAAGCACTTATTGACCCCATAAAATGTTAAAAATCTGGCTATTCTAACAATTATTCTCCACCCTACCCCTACCCTCTATCCCTTCTTTACCCCAATCAGTCTAGAACGGGGGCAGTAGAGAAAGGTAAAAGAGATTCAAAATATTTTCCTCTTCCTCTTCCTATTCCTCTTCTATTAAGCTCTTCGCAGGACTCCAAGGGATAGCATAGTTGCTCTGCTCTGAAAAAAGAGGGTTATTTAAATAGAGCTCTTCCTTTATCTTTTAATCTACACTTTTAACCTTAAAAAGAAGAAGGACACCAAAGCTAAAATAGAGAATAAAGATATAAATTTATTACTTATTTCCTTTTTCTTCCTGCCCCTTCCCAGGTTGAGGACAAGGGCTTATAATCTTTTTTTTTTCTTTTCTTATAATCTTTTTCTTTTTTGAATTATTTGAAATATGTCTTTATTTGGTATTGCGGGATAAGGAAATTATTACGATAAAGTTCTAAAGTTAAAAAAATAGAAAGAAAAGACTAAAAATTTGTTATACTCCTCGCCCTGCTAGCGAAGAAGGAGTCCCTAGAAGTGCTAGTCCTTTTTTAATGTTTATGTTTTTTATAAAGGGTGAATAGGGGGTTGCCCTATTTTAGCTGAGTTGACCAGACTCGAACTAGTATTAAGCCATTACCAAAAAATGGTGTTTTTCCAATTAAACTACAACTCATTTAAAATAAACAATAAAAAAAACTACTAAAAAGATATTTATTTTTAGTTACTCTCAAATTATAAACTTACGAGTAATCAGATTCGAACTGATGATATCTACTTGGAAGGTAGAGGCTATACCACTTAACTATACTCGTTAATATTAATTTATTCCTCTTTTATATTAAACTAATTAAATTATTTATCTCTTGTAATTAAAAATATATTAAAAAAATGGAAAAAAAAAGTTAAAGTTAAATTAAAAAGAATAATAAAATCGCTATTAAATTACTATAAGAATAAGAAAAAGAAAAAGAAAAAGAAAAAGAATAAGAAAAAGAGAAAGAAAAAGAAAAAGAAAAATCTCCTATCTCTAGACTTAAAATATATAAGTTATTACTTAACTTATAAATAAACAAACTTATTATTATAATAAAAAAGGTATTTAAAGAATAATAAATTATTCCGAGAGTTAAGAGACTAAAATTTCTCTGGCTCTTTAACTTATAAAGCTTATAGAAAAAGGATATACTTTTTTTTTAATAAAAAGGTATAAATTTAATTATTAAATTTAATTTACTATAACTTAGATATAATAAAGTAATATATAAAATAAATACTTTACCTCCATTATCGAGTAAACTGTAATTAGTAAGATTAAAATCTTTAAAAGTTTCTATCATATTACCCATATTTCTATTAAACAAAAAAGTAATTATTGCTAAGATTATAATTGAAAAAATTAGGCTTTTATTTTTAAAAGCTAGTAGATAAATTAAATAATTAGATCTACTATAATTAATTAAAAATTTATTTAGTTTTTTATTCATTTAGTATTTTTATTTTATTTAGAAAACATTTTATTTTTTTTATTGTACAATGTGATCAATAAGAAAAAAATAAATCTCATTATTTTAAAATTACATTAGTTGACTCTTTAAATCTTTTAAATAATAGTTTAGATAAATTGGCTAAAGATTTTGAGGTTCAGACTCAAAAAGGTAAATTTCCGCATTTATTTGTAAAAAGAAGTACTTTATATTATAAAGGGGAAACCCCGGATATTAAATATTATCAAAACAAAAATTTAACTGAGTTGGAGTATAATAATTTGAAAACTTCAGAATGGGATCTTAAAGAAGAATGCTTAAAGTATTTGAAAGCTGATCTTATCAGTCTTTTACAAGTTATGGAAGAAGCTAGTCAAATTTTATTTGTTAACTACGACACTCAACTAACTAAAGCATTAACTATTACTAGAGTAGCTTTAAATATCTTTTTCCCTAAATTTTATGATTCTAATAGTAAAGGGATTCCTTTAATTAATAATTTTCAATTATTTAATTTTATTAAGGAAGGTTATTATGGAGGACAAACTGAAGTTTATATACCTTATGGTAGAGATCTTTTATACTTTGATGTTAATTCCTTATACCCTGATGTTCCTTTATTACCATATCCTGGAACCGATTGTCAATACCTAGAATCATTTAATCTTAATGAGGGATTAGATTTAAATAATTTATTCGGTTTCTTCTATGCCAAGATTGAAACAAATGGAAACTATTTAGGTTTATTACCAGTTAGAGTAAATAATTCTTTAACTTTCCCTAATGGAAAATTTTAAGGGTTTTGATCCTCTGAAGAACTTAAATTAGCTAAAGAAGAGGGATATAAAATTACAGTGATTAAAGCATATAATTTTAATAAAGTACATAATCTTTTCTCCGATTACGTTAAAACTATTTATGAAAATAAAAGAAATACTACAGGAGCTAAAAGAGCTATCGCTAAAAGTTTACTAAATAATCTATTAGGTAGATTCGGACTAAGTATTGTTAAACCTAAAACTAAAATAATAAAAGAACAAGAAAAAGATATAATTAGTACTACTAGATTAATACATTCTATTAAATATATTAATAATGATGAGTATCTTTTCTCCTATGAGCCTTTCATTGATAAAGATACTTGTGAACAATTTGGATTAGATTATTTTAAAGTATTAGAAAGAGAGTATAACAATAACTTGGAAAAAAAGTTAAATTATTTTAGTAACGTTTCTATTGCTATATCTGCTATGAACACTAGCTATGCTAGAATAAAAATGAATAGGATTAAACTAGAAATTATTAAAAATGGTGGAAAAATCTTTTACACTGATACTGATAGTATAGTTTTAGATAATACTTACATAAACCCTAACTGGATTGGTCAAGAATTAGGACAATTTAAATTAGAATACGAAATAGAAGAAGGTTACTTTATTTCTAATAAAACTTACTGTTTAATATTAAAAAATGGACAAATTATTATTAAAACTAAAGGTATTTTTAGTAATTCTATTACAGTAGAAGAATTTAAAAAAATGTACCATGACCATTTAAATGTAACTGCTCTAAAATCAGATTCTAAAACTAATTAAATAAATTAAGAATTAAAGCCAAACCAAACGAGTGTCTATTATTATTATTATTTTTTATCACCACTCGAATCTTTTGAATTATTATTACCTTGACCTCCTGAATTAGAATCTTTACCTTTACCTTTAAATTAAGATTTTTAATCTTTAGAATCAGAATTTGAATCTTTTTTTGTATACTTATCGTCCTTATTATGATTATTAGGGCCATTTCCTTCACCTTTAACTTGCCAGATGGATACAGAGATACTACATCATAAACTTTTGCATTATTTAATTTAAGTAATTCCTTTTTATTCATAGATTTAGTTATTTTTTTCTGCTTTAGATAATAATAAAATATTAACTATTTAATTTTATAGACTTAAAATCAAAAGGTATGGGCTATATAAAGAAGGCTATTAATCTCTGCGCAACGCGCTGCGCGCAGTTTCTCCTTCTAAATCTCCAAGTTCTTCTGCTACACTACTTCTCCCTTTTTAAGGTAGAAAAATAGAATAGAATTAACTAGTATATCTTCTTCAATTATAGTAATAACAAAATTAATATTAGACTGATAATTAATTAAGAAATGCTTTCCATAGGTGATATGTTCTTCATTTAAAATATCCATAGCCAGAACTGCATTATAAAATGTTTGACAGATATTGATTCCTCCCTAATAGTATGTCTAATTCTAATTTCCCAATCACAAATATCGTCAAATTTAATTTTTCGTATTCAGATGTTGTAGAGTAGAGTAAAATTTACCCAAACCTATAATAAATTTTGATTTCTCTTTACCTATAAGTAATCCTTGATAAGGATTTGTTTTAGCTATGCCCAATTTATATTTTACAATATCTCTTTAAGTCCTAATAGGTACAGCGTTAACCGCATCAGTAGAATAGATATGTTATTTTTATTTAAAATAGAACAATCCTAAATAATCGTGTAATTCTTAAACACTATTTGAAAGTAGATAGGTTTTAGGGGGGGCTATTTATTATGAATCTGAGTCAGACCCTTGAGTAGGTAGCATTTTAAAAGCATGTAATGGGATAGGACTAGCTAAAGTCCATTCAAGAGTATTTGCTGTTTTAGCCTCATTTTTTAGTTGTACCTCATTAGTAAAATAAGAAGGGATATGCCAAGGATTATTTGAGCAAACTTCTTGGTTAGCAAAGATATCATAAATGATATAACCAAATAATATAGTAGCAACAACTGAAATTAATGAACCGAAACTAGATACTGCATTCCATCCTGCAAAAGCATCTGGATAATCTGGGATTCTTCTTGGCATACCAGCCATCCCTAAAAAATGTTGAGGGAAGAAAGTAATATTTACTCCCAAGAATAGTGTCCAGAAATGGATTTTTCCTAGATAGTCAGAATATGTTCTACCTACAATTTTTGGAGTCCAATAGTAGAAACCAGCAAATAATGCAAAAACAGCACCCATTGATAGCACATAATGAAAATGCGCTACTACGTAATAAGTATCGTGGAATGCTACATCTAAAGAAGCATTAGATAGGACAACTCCCGTTAATCCACCAATTGTGAATAAAGCTAAAAATCCAATTACAAATAATAATGGAGTATTATATCTTAAACTACCTCCATATAGAGTTGCTAGC